AGATCGTGACTTGAGCCGAGGTCGGACGCTCAACGGGCGGAGCCCCCCAGGCGCCCTGTGGTTGCCAACTTTTAATTTTGCTCAGTAAGGACGCGAATAGTTAAGTAAAGTGTCGCTGTGGCCGTATTGGCATTTTCCACCGTGTCACGAAGAAGGGGTGAGACGCTTCGGCAGCCAAGCTGCTCCCCTGAGGTTTTCTCCTGCGGCCTCAGACTAGGGGGCTCTCTGCAGACCACCCAGGGGTGCTTGGGGCCTGGCCACAGGGGACCGTCAGCGCCTCCGTGAGGCCTTTGGTGTTCGCACCACGGGAGGGGCAGTGATTGACTTTCTGGTGGGTGGTTTGTGGCCTGTGTAGGCAGGTGGGAGGCAGGGACTGAGCCCAGAGTGGGTGGCCCTGCAGACAGCTGTCCCCTGGCCCCCTTCCTGCGGGCGTCTGGCTCTGTGGTTCGTCCCCCTGTCCCTGTCCCCTCACCTCTCTGCAACCTCGGCCTCCCTTTTTCCGCTTTTTATTCTTGGCCCACTTGTCTCGCTCTCTGTACTCCTACCCCTGAGCCCTGCCCTTAACTGGTCATAATATGCAATTTAAAAATATTTTCTTAGAAAAAAATGTATGTTCTCTGCACCTCCCCGGTTTTATTGCGATATAATTGACATATCATGTCGCGTTAGTTTCAGAGGTACAACTTAATGACTTGGTATTTGTATATGTTGCTGAATGATGATCACACCGTCTGTCCGTCACCACACATAGTTACAGATAGTGTGTCTCTTGTGATGAGAACTTCTAAGATCCAGTCTCGGCAACTTTCAAATAAGCGATGTGGGCACTGTTCACTGTGGTCGCTGTACCGTGCGTCACAGCCCCAGGACTTGTTATTATTTTGTAAAAAATGTTTACAAAGTTTCTTTATTTATTTTGAGAGAGTGCATGGGAGGGACTGGAGAGAGAGAATCCCAAGCAGGCTCTGAGCTGCCAGCACACAGCCTGAGGTGGGGCTCGAACTCACGAACTGAGAGATCGTGATCTGAGCTGAAATCAAGAGGTGGACGCTTAACCCACTGAGCCAGCCAGGCAACCCCCGCCCCCAGGACTTGTTACGTTCCTTGTTCCCAATTCTGAGGTCAGTTTTTATTTATTTATTTATTTATTTATTCATTCATTTATTTATTTTAATGTTTATTCATTTTTGAGAGAGAGCGTGTGAGCGGGGGAGGGGCAGAGAGAGAAGGAGACACAGAATCCGAAGCGGGCTCCGGGCTCCGAGCTGTCAGCACACAGCCCGACGAGGGGCTCGAACCCACAAACTGCGAGATCATGACCTGAGCTGAAGTTGGATACTCAACTGACTCAGCCCCCCAGGCACCCCAGGTCCGTTTTAAAACAAATATCGTGCACCAGGCTGGGGTACTTTCGGCGCGTGTGATCTCAGGTGATCCGTCCCGGAGCAAGCTGTCCGCCTCGCTCAGAAGTGAGGAGACGGTGTCTAAGAGAGGTTTGGTGTCTTGACCAGATTATCTGTTTATCGGTCCTGAAGGCCTCTGCCTTCTTTACCCTGGACTTCTCTGTTCCAAAACCCGAGCAGACAGACTCAGACCAACCCTCAAGTTAACGGAAAGAAGTTTCTTGTTTTAAGAACTCGTGTGAAAAAAACGCCCAAAACTCATGTGTGTTCACTAATTTTGTTAGGAATGTGAAAGTGCCTCCTGTCGCCTCGGAAATAGTCACACAAGGAAAACCCGCAGTGGCAACACGCTTCATGTTTCAAGTAGTCTTTTTCCTAAGTGCTTTTCCATAATCGAAATTTTACTAACTACACGGTTCTTGAGAAAAATGTGTTAAATACTAGGTTCACAGAGATGAGTAAGATATAGACTCTGAATCTGAGAAATGTTCAATCTAGAGATGGTTTTAAAATAAAGAAAAAAAGTGCGTTCTTAGAGCCAGAAAGATTTGTCACTTCTTACAAAACTGGGCAAGTTGTTGAACGTCCCTGTGGCTGTTTCCCCATCTGTAGAATGGGGGTGAGTAACGAGACTGTGACAGAGTGACCGAGTGCTGTCCTGAAGCCTGGACTTGTGAAGTCATGTGAAGTAGGAGGCTGGCACGTGGTAGGTGCTCCGTAAATGCAGGCTCTCGTTACGCCACAGCCACTGCCGGGGTCGCGGGGACACGAGGGACACGGGGATACGGGGACGTGAGGGACACAGGGATACGGAGCTGCGGGGACACGGGGATATGGGGACACGGGTGTGCGTTCTTTCTCTCGCCCAACTCGCCGGCCGGAGGGAGACGTTAGGAAATACAAATGCTTTTGCCTAAACAGGAGAACACAGTGCGTTCCCTGATGTGGGCAACGTCTCTCTGAGCCTCAGTGTCTTTGTAAACCTGAGCTCACGGTGCCTGCCTCCTGGGGACGCTGAGTGTAAAACGGGACAGAGCTGAAGGCGCCTGGACCCCTCGGGGCTGGTGCGTCGTGGCCGTCCACAAAGGCTGGTGCCGGCAACGTTCGTGATACTTTACTGGTGGTCTTGGCCTCACTGCCCTTGAGCCCCAGTGTGTCCGTCTGTAAAGTGGAAATGGGTTTTATTCAGAACAACGCAAAAGACTTTACCTTCTCTCTCTGGGGACAGAATGGTCTGAATCAGGGCCCCATGGTCATCAAGGTCACCTGAGACTTTTAACGTTGATTTATTTTTGGGACAGAGAGAGACAGAGCATGAACGGGGGAGGGGCAGAGAGAGAGGGAGACACAGAATCGGAAACAGGCTCCAGGCTCCGAGCCATCCGCCCAGAGCCCGACGCGGGGCTCGAACTCACGGACCGCGAGATCGTGACCTGGCTGAAGTCGGACGCTTAACCGACTGCGCCACCCAGGCGCCCCCACCTGAGACTTTTAAAAAGTCTCATTTTGTGAGACTTAATTTTAAGGTATTTTGTTGCTAATGTTTGTTTATTTTGAGAGAGAGAGAGAAAGAGAAAACGAGCTGGGAAGGGGCAGAGAGAGAGGGAGAGAGAGAATCCCGAGAGGGCTCCGTGCTGTCAGCACAGAGCCTGATGAGGGGCCTGAACTCGGGACCCTGAGATCACGACCCGAGTTGAAGCCAAGAGTCGGATGCTTAACCGACCGAGCCACCCAGGCGCGCCTGTAGAGCCTTTAAAACCCCCGATATCTGGGTCCCAGCCCCGAGGTTCTGAGGCCACAGACCCAGGATGGGATGTAAAGAGCCACACAGGAAGGGAACGTGGCTGGGTTTGGGAAGCCCTGGACAGAGTGGCCGTCTGTGGTCAGCCGTATGTCCCGGCAGGGCTGCCCCGACTCCTGGTTTTAGCTCTTGTTAGTGCCCCGTGCCCTGTGCTCGGCCGGCCGTCGCCCGCTGTGCACCTGCATGTTCTCCGCTAGGCACTGGCTCCTCCCCGTCTTCCCCAGGCTGATCTCGGGCTGACTGGCTGTGTGATCTTGGACTAGCTGCTTTCCCTCTCTGGGCTCCGTTTCCTCTGCACAATGGGACGGTGAACATGCTCTGGTGTCCCCTCCAGGGCCGCTGCTGTGTGTTTCCTCCCCTCCTGGGGACAGCACTGTCCTGCTGGACATTCCCTCCTGAGCAGAAGCGTGGTCACCTCCTCTGTCCCCGTATTCTACTCCTGGTTCAGGTTAGGCTCCGTATCTTTGTGTAAACTGTTTCCATAGTGTTTTTAACTTCTCAACGGAAAAATGATGGGCTGGAAAGAAAATATTTAAACCCCAGAGCATTCCACCCGTGGCCTGTCACAGTTCAGGCCCTGGTCCCTCGGGCCCACGCTTGCCGCAAGGCCTGTCCTCTTGTTGGTGCTCGTGCTTCGATGCCTGGCCTCCTGTGGCGGGGTGGGGGGGGGCGGGGGTCTGCAGAAATACCGTTCCCAGGAAGGGGGGGGCCTCCTGTGTGCCTGGACCATGTCCCTTACTGGGCAAAGCCTACCAAACCCACCCGGGCGGATGAGAACTTAACTATTTTTTATTGTGAAAGGTGAATAGAAGAAAATTAAAATGTTGGGGTGCCTGGGGGGCTCAGGTCATGATCTCATGGTTTTTGGGTTCGAGCCCCATATCTGGCTCTGTGCTGACAACACAGAGCCTGGAGCCTCCTTTGGATCCTCTGTCTCTCTCTCTCTCTGCCCCTCCCCCACTCACGCTCTGTCTCTCTCTCTCTCTCTCAAAAATAAACATTTAAAAAATTAAAAAAAATTTTTTTAATGTCAATAGTGCTTCCATGCAGTGACTTGTTCTGTTTGTTTGCTCCGTGTGTAAATATATATGTATGTATATAATGTATAATAAACAGTGATATAAATCTTTCTTCCCATCCACGTACTAACTAGGCCCAACCCTGCTTAGCTTCCGAGATCAGATGAGATCGGGCGTGCTCAGGGTGGTATGACCGTGGACTAAATCTCTTTCTTTCTTTTTTTTTTTTTTTTAACGTTTATTTATTTTTTTGGGACAGAGAGAGACAGAGCATGAACTGGGGAGGGGCAGAGAGAGAGACACAGAATCGGAAACAGGCTCCAGGCTCTGAGCCATCAGCCCAGAGCCCGACGCGGGGCTCGAACTCCCGGACCGCGAGATCGTGACCTGGCTGAAGTCGGATGCTTAACCGACTGCGCCACCCAGGCGCCCCTAAATCTCTTTCTTTAGGGACTTTACATCAGCCCGTATGAGCCTCCCTTGTCTTGTATTTTTTGTGTAACTATATTCTCAACATTTTTCTCCTTTATTTTTAAAGACCGTTGCAACCTATGGCTATCTCCTAACTTCTATAAGTATTTAATTTATGTAACGAATTTAATTATATATTTATATGTGGTTTTGTACGTAATATTTATATACACTTACATAACTAATTGTCTAGGGCTGGCTACCAGCTTATTCTAGCGTAACGTTCTTTTCGCCAACACGGCAACGCGCTTACTCTGGGAGAGTTCGGGGTCTGTCCGTCGTTAATTGTGACTCTTCCGCCCACAGAACCCAGGAGCCCCCCAGCCAAGACGGAGGCGCCCCCCTTCACGCAGGTGAGTGGCCAGGGCAGCGGCACCTGGGCTGGGGATTATGGGCCGGCACCGGACGGAACTTGGTTCAGATCCCAGCCCTGCCACTTACTGGAAATGTGGCCACGGGCCAGTCACGTGCTCTCTTCGAGCCTCTGTACCACGGGGTCAGAGCAGTTCGGGTGTCCCAGGCCAGTCGCGGCCACGGTGGTCTGTGGAGTTGGCTGGCCTGGCTCGAAGGACGCCCTGTGCCTCGTGGCCGAGGTCTCGTCTCTGATCTGAGAGACGCCGCTGAGCTCGGAATCAAATTCGGTGCATCTGAGCCTTTCCTCGGAGGGCTCCCGGTGTCATAATTTTCTGGAAAGAGGATTACCTCTGAAGCTGCTTAACAAATCTCTGGGTAATCCAATTTCCCACCCAGCTGCCTGTCCTGTGGTCCTTAATCCCCTGAGGGCCAGCTAAACTGGGAGGCTCAGCCCCTCCTGGAGCCAGCAGCCCAGGGAGGGAGCCCCGGCCTCGCACCTCACACGTGGCCGATGCAGGGCTTCCCAGGCGCCGGCGGAAGAGGCTCCGGGTACAGCCCGTGCCGTGTGGCCAGGTGCGGGGTGGGCGCTGGCTGAGGGCCGGCCCAGATGCGCCCGGCGCTGAGCCCTGTACCCGCAGTCTCGTTTGATCCTGTCGTCAGCCGGGGTTCAGAGCTAAGGCGGTGGTGCCTGCGAGGGAGGAAAACAGATACCCACGTGGGCTCCAGGGTCTGTCCAAGGTCACAGAGCTGCTAAGTGGGGGGTCCAGGATTCTGGCCCGCGGTTCTCCCAGGAGATGGGGGCACCCGCACCCGGGCACAGGACGCGGGGGACAGTGCTGCCGTGGCCTGTCCGGGGAGCCTCTCCTTTGGGAGAGGTGCCGCGCCCCAAGCCCTGGTGGAGAGGCAGCCGGGAGGGAGTCCTGCCTCTTGCTGGCGAGGTATAGGTACAAATGACGAAACGACGGTGCCGACGTCGAGGGGCTCAGGTCAGGAGCGGAGAGGTCCCCGAGGCACAGCGAAGGATGCCATGGATGGACCATAGAGGGCCGAGGAGGAGGTCGGAGCTGGTCCCAGGTGATGGCGGAACGTGCAGAAACGCGCTTACAGGGGGGATCTCTGTTTTAGGCACCGACTACTAATGGAGACGATGAAAATAATCTCTTGAGAGATTCCGCAAATGCAACCAGCCTCCCAGGTAAGGACTGGGTGTATTCACACTCCGGTGATATCAGGGGCACAGGGACTTCTCGGCATCACGTCCGTTCTTATTCGGAAGTGTTGGCAGAAGGCCAGTCTGCTGAAGGGGAGGAGCTGGGACAGAGACGCGACTTTGCAGGCCCCCCCGTCTGAGGCCGTTGGCTGACGTAGGCTGAGGGAACCCCAGGGAGAGTGGCACAGATCAGTGAAATACGCCCCAGCTCGCCTAGAATACAAACAAAAGGGTTGGAGTCTGACACGGAATGCAGGCTGGCGGAACTCTCTGGGAGCCTGGATTTGAGTGCTCCGCTCCCGTGTACCTGCAAGAGCAGGAAAGCTCACCAGCGTCGGGAAGGACCCGGGTCCGCCATACGTGTGGGGCTCCCGGAGCGCAGGCTGGGGCCTCAGCACAGCTCCTGGCTCTCTGTGGAAGCCCTCACCCCACCGGACGCTGGCTGCCCAGGCCCCATCCCGGTTGCAGGCCCTGCCACAATGCACCTGGGAAGGACCTGCTGACTACCTGGGCCTGAGTTCTGCACGGCTGGGGGCTCGGGGGGACCGAAGCCACCCCACCCTCCCGGGGTCAGACTCCGATGGAGGAAGCAGGGAGTGCGGTGGAGAGCGGTGTGGAGACGGCCAAAGCAGAGGCATCGATAAAGCGAGGGGAATTTGGAGATGTCCGAGGGTGTGTGCAGCTGCGATCACAGAACGTTCTGGGGGAGGTGCCGTTCGAATGGGCCTCAAGTGGTAGGGTGGGGGTGGGGTGCAGTTCAGGGGCTGCGGTGGGGAGGGGCCTCAGCGAGCAGCTCCTCCAGCCCTGTCTCCGGGAAGGCCGTCCGTGGGTCCGTCGATGGCCAGGCTCCCTGCCCAGTGCCCAGTGGGCACGTGCCCGTGGCCTGATGCTCGCTGGGCATTTCATACTTATGTCGGAAACTGAGCACTGGATGCCCCCGGCCCTTTCCAGCCCCAGTCTCTTCTTTTCCATCCTCCTCGTCTTGGGAACCGGTGCCACACGCACTGGGCCGCTCAGGGCGGCCGGGGGCGGGCGGAGGGGGTCGAGCGCGCGTCCTCTTCTACCCCTGCCCCACGTCCAGTCCCGGAGCCCTGCTGTTGCCAGGGACTCGTCCCCTCTGCCAGGACTTCAGGAGCTGTCGCGGGTCTCCCGTCTTTTCCTCCTAACCCCCAACAGACCCTCTCCAGCCAGCAGCCAGAGCGACTGTGCAGTCACAGATCTGGGCTCTGGTCTCTGTGGGGCCAGTGCCTGTCTCAGACCTCACCTCGTGCACTCTCCCTGTGGCTCGCTCTGTACTCACATTGTGTACCTCAGGGCCTTTGCACACGCTGCCTGCACTCACATTCTCTACCTCAGGGCCTTTGCACACGCTGCCTGCTCTGCCCGTGTGCTCTTCCCCTGACCTGGCCAGCTCCTTTACACAGCCAGGCCTCTGCTCAGAGCCCTCTGCTAGGGGCCTGTCCTACGTCTGACGCCCCACCCCCAGCCCCCACCCGTCACTCCTTGACCTTCCTCTGCTTTCTTTGTCGTCATTGCCCTTGCCCTTGCCCTTGCCCCTGCTAAGGTCACGTGACATTTATTTGTTTGTCTCTCTGTTGACTAGAGTGTAAGATCCAGGAAGGCGGGAGCTTTTCTGTCAGCCTGTATCCCTGTGGCTCTGAACAGAGACTTCTATCGATAAATAGTCAATAAACATTTGTTGAATGAGGGAAGGAACAAATATCAAAGACGGTGAAGTGTTAGTGAAGAAGCCAGTCATACTGCCTCTGTTACACAGCCGTCTCTGCCGGGTGTGGGGACACCCGTCCTGCAGCCGGTGCCCGGTCTGGGCTCCTGACAGCCGCGTCCAGCGGGCGCTTGAAGTGATGAGCGTCAGGAGGCATCGCAGCCCATGGTGGACACGCCTGGAGGAGCCCGGGAGCCGCGAGGGTGTGCGGGCCCAGCCACAGAGTGTGGACTCCGGGCACCAGCTCCGTGTGGCAGCTGTGGGAGGGGACGTGGTTGCCCACGAACCAGTTTGTTCTTTCGGTCCCCACAGAGCCTGCTGTGTGCGGGCTCCGCATGGCAGGGGGTTTGACTGTGGGGACACCTGTGGTCCCACTGCCGGGAGCTCGAGCTGCAGCTGGAGAGGTGCCCGTGGGCGCCTGGAGCGAGGTCGCTCCGCAGAGGAAATGGCATCACCTCTTGTGACGCCAAAGGTCTGGTTGGGGCTGGACGGCTCAGGCAGGAAGAGCATTCTGGAAGGGAAGAAGGAGACTGGGGGCGGGGGCTCCGGAAGGAGCAGGAACATGGCACGTGGCGGACAAATGAAGTCCACGTGGCTGGGGCTTGAGGACCAAGTAGGGTGACAGGTGACACCCCAGTGGAGAAAGCTTGATTTCACCTGCCTGAGCCCCTGACACCGTCCTCAGTGGAGCTGCGTCGACGGGGTCCCCAAAGCCTCCAGGCTGTTGCACCCCCGTGCCTTGGGGGCCGGGCCCCCGTGCCTTGGGGGCCAGAGCTGTTCAGTGGTGGGGGGGAGGGGGGCCTCTCTCGCCAGGGCTGGGACCCCGGGGTCGCACTGGGCTGGGCCGAGTCCTCTGGAGCCGGCTCTGGTGGGCTAGCAGGGCAGGCCTCCGGGGCGAGGTTCCCTCGGGTCCTGACAGCACCTGGTTTCCTATTCCTCCTCCTGTTCTCTCTCCTCCTAGTGCAAGACTCTTCGGTGCCACTGCCCACCTTCCTGGTGGCCGGAGGAAGCCTGGCCTTCGGAACGCTCCTGTGCGTTGGCCTCGTCCTGAGGTGAGCAGGGTCCGGGGGACCCGTGGCCTCGTCCTGTGGTGAGCAGGGTCCGGGGGGCCCGTGGCCTCGTCCCGTGGTGAGTGGGGTCCGGGGGGCCTGTGGCCTTGTCCCGTGGTGAGCAGGGTCCAGGGGGGGCAGTGGCCTCGTCCTGAGGTGAGCAGTGCCCTGGGGGCCCGTGGCCTCGTCCCAAGGTGAGCGGGGTCCGGGGGACCCGTGGTCTCGTCCTGTGGTGAGTGGGGTCCGGGGGGCCCATGGCCTCGTCCCGTGGTGAGCGGGGCCCAGGGGGGCCCGTGGCCTCGTCCTGTGGTGAGTGGGGTCCGGGGGGCCCATGGCCTCATCCTGAGGTGAGCAGGGTCCGGGGGACCCATGGCCTTGTCCTGTGGTGTGCAGGGTCTGGGGGGCCCGTGGCCTCGTCCCGTGGTGAGCGGGGTCCGGGGGGCCCGTGGCCTCGTCCCGTGGTGAGCGGGGCCCAGGGGGGCCCGTGGCCTCGTCCCATGGTGAGTGGGGCCCGGGGGGCCGTGGCCCCCTCCCAGGGTGAGCAGGGTCCGGGGGGGCCCATGGCATCGTCCCGTGGTGAGTGGGGTCTGGGGGGCCTGTGGCCTCGTCCCGTGGTGAGCGGGGCCCAGGGGGCCTGTGGCCTAGTCCTGTGGTGAGCGGGGCCCGGGGGCCGTGGCCTCGTCCCGTGGTGAGCAGGGTCTGGGGGCCTGTGGCTTCGTCCCATGGTGAGCGGAGCCCGGGGGGCTGTGGCCTCGTCCCATGGTGAGTGGGGCCCGGGGGCTGTGGCCTTG